TCCCCAAATCCCTCCCCTGCCGTGCCGCTGGAGGCTGGCGATGCTCCGCGCCGCCCGTGCCAGCCCGCTCGCGGCAGCTATTTTCGGGCACGCAGGCAAGCCGGCAAGAAAAATTAAAATAGCAAAAGCCCCCGGGGCTGTATCCTGCCCCGCTTCCTTGGCAGAGGGGGATGCACCCACGTTTTGTGCCGTCCTGGCACGTGTGATCCGGCGCTGAGGGTTCTGGATTCAGCGTTTCTGGGTTATTTTGGCAGCGGGCGGCGCGGAGCGAGCAGGGGAAGCTGGCGGGGAGATGGGGAAGGTCCTGATCCTGCTCGGTCCTGGGGAGCCTCCCTCGATGGCAGGCGGGCACGGGAAAGGGGAGTAGCGTTAAGGATGCTGTGCAGCAGAATCCGTCCCGTGGGACTTGGAGGGCTCCTCACAGCACCACTGGGATTTTACACCCATTCCGTTGAAATCTGGGGATTTCTTTTTTAGTGCATTTTACATTTTGGCCCCAAACCTCTCAAGATTGGCGCTTCTCCGCAGCACAACAACTTTCCTAAAATCAATCGCTCAGATGCGGGAGGGTGTGGGGGGGTGTCCAGACCCCTCCCCACATGGCAGGGATGCGGCCACTGTGCCCCATATCTGCAGCGTGGATGGTGGATGTGGCACCTGCATCCCAGCATGGTCCCTGGGTGGATGTGGCACCTGCATCCCGGCGTGGTCCCTGGGTGGATGCGGCACCTGCATCCCAGCGTGGTCCCTGGGTGGATGTGGCACCTGCATCCCAGCGTGGTCCCTGGGTGGGTGCCCACCCCAGGCAGCTCAGGTGGCCAAGCCCATGGGGATTCACCCCCAATGGTGCTTGAGCACTGGCTCAGCTCATCCCACCTGTAGGCTGGTGAAACTGCACGGAGCTCCGGGGAAGAGGTGGGTGCCCCAGAGCATCAAAGTGACACTGGGCACCCACCCCAAGGGACCTCCCCTGCTGCAAACAGGCTCGTGAGCTGGATCCGGCCTCCGCAACCTGCAGGGACGAGCGTGGCCTCAGCCAGTCCATCCCCACCAGCAAGCCCACGGTTTTGCAGGGGTTTTTTTTTGCGGATGAAATACAGGTGGGACATACAGGAGCCGACGGTCCCCGCTGCCTCTGAGGGTAACCAAAACCCCCTGTGCCGGCTCAAGGCTTCATCTCGGGCGAGGAAGAGGAGGCCGGCAGCGCGGGCGCCTCCGTACGGCACCGTCCCCACCTGCAGAGCGGTGGCAGGGTATGGCCCTCTCTAAGTATACGCCATTGAAATGTGCACATTTCCTAAAAGCAATATGGAACAGCTAAATATACTGCTCACAAATCTGTTTACACTAATAATGGCTGGGAGCCTGCCATCCATATGACTGCAAGGAACCATTGATTCAACATAAATTAACTGAAAATTACTTGCGAGAGGGAGAAACTCACGGCATTTTATATTTAATTTTTTTTTTTTTTTTTCCCCTTTTCTTTCCCACCCACCCCACCGGGGAAAGGGGAATCACAGTGACATTGGCATCTCCTCCACGGCAGCATTTGGCTCCGCTCTCTCCTCGCCGGCCCCTCTCCATGTCCACAGCGATGGGACCCGGGATACCCAGCGAGCCGGGATTTTCCATCCCAGCGCCGGGGATTCGAGCTGCCGCCAGGGCTAAATGAACACAATATTTACCCGCTTTCCAAGAAACGGCAACGGAGACGGAAGGGTCCGAGTCATTATTTTGGCGCGGGCAGATTGCTAACTTGTTTAAATTGTTAAAAAAAGGGAAAAAAGAAGACGAAAAAACCCCACCAGAATTGGCAGCTCCTCGCGTATTAGTTGAAATGCTGCAGACTTGGCTCCCGCTCACCTCCGCAACATAATGTTAAATGGCATCAAGACAGTATATCAGTCATTTACATATGTTGCTTATAGACGCCAAACTTATTAACACAATAAAACTGCTGCTAAGAAGCTTTCCTGCCTATTTTTCTCCTGGAGAATGTCAGTGTTGGAAGCACCTAGCCGCCTCGTATGGAAACACCCGGGGTTGCCTTTCATATGGCACCCGGGAAAATAAATACATGCATCACCCCGGAGCCCCCTCCGACCACTCCCAAAGGGAAGCGGGAGGAAGATGCATCGCCTCAGAGCACTGTGCATCGGCCAGCACCCAGCCCACCCAGCAGCACCCTGCGAGCCCCGGCCCCCCCCCGAGGCACGCCGCTTCCCCGCACCGGCCCCCCAGGCGGGATGGGATGGCTTCACCCCAAGGCTGCTTTTACACCCCCCCGCTTCCAGGTGTCCCCCACTCCCTGCCCTCGCAGCCGAGGTCTGGAAACGCTGCAAAAGGGGGCCCCGGCTGATTCATATTTTTGTTTTCCCGGGTGCCATATGAAAGGCAACCCCGGGTGTTTCCATTCGAGGCGGCTAGGTGCTTCCAACACTGCTGCTCTCCGCGTGGAAAAGGAGGCAGGAAAGCTTCGTAGCGGCAGGTTTATTGTGTTAATAAGTTTGGCGTCTATAAGCAACATATGTAAGCGGCTGATCCGCCGCCTTCATGCCATTTAACGGCACGTCGCGGAGGTGAGGGGGAGCCAGCTCTGCCCATCTCCCCTGATACAGCGCTGCGCGGTCCCCGCGGGGTTTTGGGGGGCCTCTCCCAGCATCTGAGAGGGGACAGCCCCTCTCCCCGTGATTTCTTTGCCCCTGCACCGGTGCAATCTCGCAGGGGACCTTGCTTTCTTAGCTGCTGGAGCAAAGCTGGCAGGACCCTGGGGGGGGTCTGACATGGGGGTCACGCTCCGGTGCTACCCGAGGGAGCCCCCAAACCCTCCCCGGGGCTGGAGGCGTAATTTCCTGTGTTGAGATTTCCCTAGAAAGACATTTTTGCTGCCACGCTGACCCTACCGTGCATGGAAAAGTGTTCCTATGGATGACATCCTATAGCCCTGGAGGGAGGTATGCGGTGGGACATTAGCTGGGAGACACCCCCAAAACCAGTGGGGAGGGCTGACCGAACCCAAACACCACAGCTGAGCTCCTCGTCGTGCTGTCGGTGGTATAAACCCCCAAACCCATCCCCAGGAATCACAGTGCTAAAGCACAGAGCTTCTGGCCACGGCATCTCGAGGAGGTTTGAAGGCTGGGATCAGGGGTGAGGGAGAGATCTGCTCCTGGCTGGGGCCCAGCGATGCCACATGCCCACTGCTGCTGCCACCCCAGGGACCAGGATGACAAACCAGGGTCAGTGGTTTGGGTTTGCTCCCAGCACCCGGAGAGGGCTGGATTGCACCCCTCGCTCCGGCGAAGGGCTCGGGGACCCCCCCAGCTCTGCCCCCTGATGCTGTACCTGCTGTCACCCCAGCAGGTCCCCCAGGAGGACCAACGTCCCCTGCCCGCATGGCAGGTGATGCCACCTGCGGAGCCGTGCGTGCTGCTGGAGCCTGCAGCATCAGTGCTGCTCTGACAAGTCATGTCACAAGCCGGAGATGCTGTCCAAAAACCCCGTGTTTCAGTGCTGCTGCCCTCCATGGGCCCCGGCATGGGTGAACCAGCTCATGGCCCCACTCAACCCATGGGCAGACAGGGGACATGGGGTCCCCAAGGTCAGGCAGAGGGGCAGGGGAAAGGTCCCCAAGCACCCAACCTCCGCACATCACTTTCAACTAATGAGTCGCAACAACTTTCCCCCAAACCGTGGTCCTGTGGTACCACCTTGCCGAGCAGAAACGACCAGCACAATCTGTCCCAGGCACAGATGCAGCCGCAGCACTGGGACAGGAATTGCCACCAATGGCCGAGGGTGCCACAGCTTTCTGAAAAAAAAATACACGACCATCTAGAGATGTTTCAAGGCTTGGAGATGAACCTTTCAGGAGCTGGGGGTTTCAACGTCTACAAGGAGCTGGGTGCAGAATCCTGTTTGCTCTGCAAGTGCAAAATTCCCGTTCATGACATGGCTGCAACCACTGCAGCCACAGCTGTGTCCACACCAAATGGCCTTCAAGGTCTCCCACCCCTGAGCACCTTCCTTCCGCTGGGAAGCCCACCAGGACGCATCACACCAGAGCCCACATCTGTGGAGGGTTTCTGTACCAACGTAGCCATCAGGTCACGTGGGAGAGGTGAGGGTGGATGCAGCCCCCATGGAAAAGCCGGTGTGACCATTGCGTTGGTGGGTGAGGACCCAGCAGCATCTTCCCTTGCTGGACTGACCTCTTCCAGCCTGTAGCTGCGATCTGGGTGGCTTCCCATTCCCAGGCTCAGTGGTGGGATCCTCTTTCAATATCAGCCTGACTGCTGATAGATCGAAGCTATCTCCCAGCCATCCATGTCGATGTACGTATCTACCGCCATCCCCACCATCCCATGTCATCTCCATCCATCCACCATCGATGGACCAGTTGACAAAAAACACCTTAAAAAAGGCAGGTGAGGTGAATAACCTGCTGAAGCCCACCGGGTTGTGCAGGGACAGCTCATTTCAACCCAGAATATCCCCGAGCCAAGTGAAATTAAAATAAATAAATAAATAAATAAATAAATAAAAGCCAGCGAAGCAGGAAAGGGGGAGCGGCCCGGGACAGGCAGGCTCCAGACCTCTGTGTCCCCCCAACCCAAAATACAGCCCCCTTCCTCCCTTCTTCACTTGAAGGATGCCGAGAAGGAATCCGGGCAGGGGAAGGAGCTGTGCCCATGGGAAGAGCAGGTGGGAGAGGTTAGGAGGAAATGATCCAGCACTTTGAAGTCCGGTCAACTTTTAACATCCCGGCAAGCTGAGCCCGTGGCCACGCTCCGGGGGCCTGGGGCCTGATTTTCCACATTCTGCCCTTTGATGCTGGAGGCCGATGCGTTACCGATTAACGA